ATATAATAGACATTTTATTTAATTTTTTGTTAAATAAATTATTTTTTAATTTGTATAAAATTTTTCTTTAAAAAAATATTTCTGTTTTTTAAGCAAAACGAATATATCTGCTGTTACGTAATTCTCTGTAAAATACGTTTATTCCACTTGATAAAAATTTGCATGATTAAAAATTTCAAATAAGGTATGCGCATGTGAGTTGTAGCGCGTTATATTATTTGTTATACAATGCAGGATGTGTTAATTATGAATTAGAAACCTCTAATTATGTTTTTTTTTTTTTTTAATACTATTTTGTTGGATGAAAAAATTCGGTATTAAAATTTGTCCGAGAAAATCCATGGGATTTTAAAAACGTTGAATAAAATGTTCGCATTAATATTACAGTATATCGCACTGTATATGAAAATATACATTGCATTACTTACGAAATAGGAATATAGAACGAAATACACATATTTAATGTTATTAATTTAATCTTTTTCATGAAATATATTGTGCAACTTTTATTGTACAAAAGCTTAGTTTATTTATCTTTTCAATAAAATTTCTATTTATATCGCTCATAACAAAAAACCAAATTATGTGTACTATTATTTGTACATTTCTCTTCGTCTGTGTTTTATTATTATGATGTGCTTGCATGTATATAATATGAACATATACAAAAATGTCTATGCAATTTCGAACAATATCATTTTTCGCATTTGGTTTTTTGTTATGAGCGATATAATTGGAAATTTTATTGAAAAGATAGATAAACTAAGCTTTTGTACAATAAAAGTTGCACAATATATTTTATGAAAAAAATTAAATTAATAACATTAAATATGTGTATTTTGTTCTACATTCCTATTTCGTAATTAATGCAATGTATATTTTTATATACATGCTAATATTACTAATAAAATGTTAGTAAATGGTAAGAAGTTAGCAATTTTAATTTTCTTATTAATTAATAAAGAAAATTAATAACGATTGTTAAAGTTAGATATACATTTCAGATTTATTCGCATATTTTAATATATTTTAATTTATATATGTGTAATATTCTTTATGCTCTTATGTCGTTATAAGATTATTTCTAGAGATATAGTCGCTTTATTTCATATCTTATTATCTTTGCTTACTTCTTGTTGCTGAAATGGACCTGACTCATTTGCAATAATCGCGTGTTTATCGAGACGCTCGGCAATTTTGCAATTTCCCGCAAGCTCATTTGGCAAGATTAACGGCGGTTGTACGCACGGCTGCGAAATGTTGGAAAGTGATAACAGAGAGCCGCTGCAATAGCAGCAACAGCGATGGCACTAACTGCAGCGGCGTATCGGCGCTGTTAACGCGATTATTCGCAATAAGCGCCATAATAGAGCCACCTTTAAGATTATGGTAATGCATGCTCCTACATGCGTTATATGCGTAATGTGACCTCTTCTGTACTAATTATTGATCATAAAATCTATCTAAATTCGAAACAAGAGATGCATCTGGATGCCGGTAACTGAAGAGAATGCAACGCGAATATCGAATTTTATATAGTTTTGTTCTCTAAAGTTATTAATATTATTAATTATTATTATCAATTATATATAACCGTGAATTATATTTGCAAATTGTGCTCTTCGTGAACGTTGATGTCTTTAATGACGATTTTTCGCGTAATAATTGATTGTCATATTTTACGAATGCTCTTGGATATTTTATTTTTTTCAAATTTATCAAGTTAAAATTTTTTAAATAAATTTGCTCATTTGGCAAGATTAACGGCGGTTGTACGCACGGCTGCGAAATGTTGGAAAGTGATAACAGAGAGCCGCTGCAATAGCAGCAACAGCGATGGCACTAACTGCAGCGGCGTATCGGCGCTGTTAACGCGATTATTCGCAATAAGCGCCATAATAGAGCCACCTTTAAGATTATGGTAATGCATGCTCCTACATGCGTTATATGCGTAATGTGACCTCTTCTGTACTAATTATTGATCATAAAATCTACCTAAATTCGAAACAAGAGATGCATCTGGATGCCGGTAACTGAAGAGAATGCAACGCGAATATCGAATTTTATATAGTTTTGTTCTCTAAAGTTATTAATATTATTAATTATTATTATCAATTATATATAACCGTGAATTATATTTGCAAATTGTGCTCTTCGTGAACGTTGATGTCTTTAATGACGATTTTTCGCGTAATAATTGATTGTCATATTTTACGAATGCTCTTGGATATTTTATTTTTTTCAAATTTATCAAGTTAAAATTTTTTAAATAAATTCTTTATTCGAGAATTCTGTCAAAATAAAAATTATAAGATTGCGGGTTTTTTTTTATATAAGATTCGAGCGACTAAATTTGTAGTAATTGACCAATGATTAAAAACCTTTTTTATTATTTTTTTTTCTTTACTATGAAACGGATAGTAACTGTTCCACAGTTTTTTGATACAGCGCGACAAACTGCATCGTTGTCGTCCAGATTTCCTTTGGGATGTAAGAAACCGTCGCGTTGTGGTGTGAGTGCACTTGGCGTGCAGTACGGCAGCCGGCAGCTGCATCTTCGAAAGCTACCGCTGTTATAGAATGTCATGGCAATAGTCACCAGGATATTAGACGTGGTCC